AATTTCAACAATCTCAATACCAAAGTTCATCAATCTCAAAATTTATAATCCAAAATTCAATATCTATAATGCAAACTTCAAATTATATACTAATACTAAAATCTATAAATCAAAATTCAAAATTTAAAATCCATTTTTATACAAAATTCAAACAACAAAAAACTTAAATATTTTAAACTAAAAAATACAATAAATATGCAAAAGCTTACAAAGTTCAAACCCACTAAAACGGGGGTTGAAAACGGAAAGATTAAGAGGGGCAAAGGGCAGCGGCAGTAGACTTCGGCAGCGGCGGACTTTGACGGTGAGGTTTTAGGATTTTTTTGATGAAAAAATAATTAAAACTTATAATAATGTTGATTTGGTAAGGATTTAGAAGAGAATTGATGGTGATTTTTGTAGTTTGGGGTCGGAAAATCGGAGAAAACTGGGGAGAGGCCGAGAGAGAGAGAGAGAAAGAGATCAGAAAAAATAAAGGAGGAGGCTCTGGTCGTAGGCATATAGACAGAGTTTTTCCTGATGACAAAAAAACATATTTGCGACAACATGTCATCGCAAATATAACTTAACATTATTTGCGACAACGCATTTCGTCTGAAATATAACTTTATTATTTAACATGTATAAGGAAGGTTTTGGAATTATTATTTGCCACGACACATATAATTATCGTCGCAAATAAGTTTTGGGGTACCGCCCAATTTTCCCGCTGTTTATTTTAGTGGGGAAATACAAAATCAATTTTTGCGACAACACCTATTAATGTCCTCGCAAATAAATTTTGCGAACCGCCAAAATGACCCCTTTTTACTCGGGGGGTGTAATAAATAAATGAATTATTATTTACAATGATAAGTCGTCGCAAATAATGTTATTTTGACAGCAAACGTTAGCGCCAAACAACATTTACCGCCAACTACATATTTGCGACAATGTGTGACTTTTTAGCGACGATAATATTTTTCTATTATACGAAATGTATTTACAACGTTACGTCACTGCAAATATTTTCGTCGCTAATGGGCCAAATTGTAGAACTATGGAGGTTTACACTTGAAAATTGAATCTGAAAAATACTAGTTTGTGTGACTTGTGTGCTTCTTGTTTAATTAGTGTGTATTATATATGGTTTGTGCTTGCACTTCAACCCTATGATAGGCTAATATATATAGCAGCAAACAACCAAGGGATATATATGGTGTTCCTGTCTCTGTGTGTTTTCCTTGTACAAATTATGTATTTTTCTTCTTTATGGAGGAATCTAGAAAATTAGTCTTGAAGCTTCTGGGCTTTGGCAAATACAAGAGCTGATTTTGAATTTTTCTTATATTTTCATCCCTATTTCAATTCCAACTCTGCACATTAACCCATTTTCAGCTAATTATAACACAAATTGAGTAAAATAAATTTGTTAGGAGAGAACTAGAAAACAATATAATAAATTAAATACAAAACTAATTAAACTAAATTAAAAGTACACTAAAACCAAATAAACTAAAATGCAAGTAAACTAAATTAAAAACTACAAGAAATAAACTAAAATAAACGAGTCTCAAGGAAATGGTCCATTTAAATGTACAAAAAGTGGTGAAATAACTCTATGATCTTATAGAGTTATCGAGCTATCTTAACACATAATTTTTTTATACTGCTTTCACATATCACTTATCATGCCATTGCGTAGTAACTCTCCCACCTCTCTTCCTCCCCTCTCCACCTTTTGTTCTTTCTCTCTCTATTTTTTAATACTTTATATGTTATGTTCTTTTTTTTTTTTTTTTTTTTTTTTTTTTTGTTTTTTTTGTTTTTTTTTATTTTTTTTT